AAAAATATACAGAACGATGCATATATCGGCTATTTTTCGTGTATGTCAACATCACAACTTGAATTTATCCGCCATGTTTACTGACCTTGATAGATTTTATTTTGGGGGAGCCAATGCAAATTTAGGATCTATAGGAGCGGATCTTTTGGGAATTTCCTTATTTTAAACCTAAATATCGATGTCTACAAAAAAAAAAAACAAAAAAAAAAAAAAAAACACGTGAAACGGTTTTATTTAGCTATGTTTAGTGATACTATTCATCACAATTATTTATAAACATCGACATTTGCTTTATTAGGCTATTCTAAATTTCAAGCGCAAGTCTCAGTACGTCACGAGTGAACTCTCATGGTTGCTGAGGAGAGCGACTGATAAACACGCAAATTTATTCTACATGCATGGTTTTCGTGTTTAACGGGCTATGTTGTTGATAGTGAATAAAGAATTCGTCTTATTAGACGTAAGTTGAATGTAAAAACTTTTTATTTTGCCTGCAGTCGCATGTATTTAAAAATATATTTGCACCATTACGGAGATGCTGTGGTATTGTAGCCCTCTCCAGAAAAAACATCAGATTAAAAAAAATCGGAGAGGGGTACATTATTGCAGCTAATGACCAAGTTGTTTAGGGAACACTTCAAGATTCTACAGGTCTTGGGTCTCTACACCCATGACTGACTGAAACAATAACAATAATCCTTTTTGAGGGTAGTTCAAAAGACTCTAATGCATAGCACTCCCCGGGACATACCTAAAATTCAACGTCTTTAATGATTCTTTTTTATTTTTTCGAATAAAAATTATGATGTCTAAATGATTCAGATCTATAGAATACATGGAATGGCAAAGCTATTTCAATGTTCCATTTTTCAAAAGTTTCTCTACATCTCTATACTTAATTGCAGCGGTGTTGTCATGTACCAGAAAATAAGCCTGCAGGCATTGAGTGTGGTACTTTTTTAATTTGACCTTTCTAGCAAATATGGCTTCTCACAGCAATAATAGAGCCAAAACTTCCTCTCTAAACTCAAACTGTACCATTGACTTCCTTTTTGGGATCTTAAAGTGCACGCCATGTTCTATTACCTATCATCCAAGATAATCATATATCTAATTGTTCAAATATTAATTGTTTAAGCTCATTGACAGTTTTTAACATGTTTTCTTTAAGGATCTGTAAGGAATTGAGCCTTCCATCTGCCATATAAAAGTTTATTTAAGATGAAATATATGTATTCAAGTTTAAAAGTCCATTTAATAGTACAAAATTGAGCAGAGAAAAAAAGAACCTTTCTAAAAAATCAGATTCATTTTCTTTGCCAAAATTCTATAAAGTTTAGCCTTTCATTGTAAATGTCGTTGTTTCAGCATCAATTTTTTTTCAACAGATTTTAATCGGATAAATCGCCTTTAATCTTTAAACTCCCCTTTTCTATTTTTTATTTCTTATTCCATCAGAATATAATACTGTGGATAATTCTAGTTTTCCAATATTCTAAAAACCTTTCCTTCACGTTTTTTCTGCAATTTTTTAATTGGAGCACAGTTCAACATACGCCCTCATTTTTATTTTCTTTGCAAAGACAATATTTAAAAAAAAAATATCTCTATGAAGTATCCTTGCTTCCTTTCATATTGAATTCTTTTGCAAAGACAAAAGTAAAAGATCTTACGGTTTAAAGACAAAAGTAAAAGATCTTACGGTTTTCGGTCATTACTGGATAAACTTTCCTCGCGTCACACTCTGGAAAGTGGGATGACACTTTGTGGAAGTTACTTTGAATATTATTAAATCATGAAGCTTTGTGAATTCTAGTAAAGCTGTGTGATATCATTAAAATAATATAAGTCTCTATGAATGATGCAGGCAACGGGTTATAACAACAGGTCACATGAATGACTCACATATCAAAGTGTGTAATGCGAAGACGGACAATATAAGGCCTGCTCTTTCGTTGTACTACTATAATTAATGTGATCATATATGTACATTGAAAATCTGCTGCCTACAAATTAAACTTTCCTTGAAATATTTACGTTTGCTTGAGACCCTCTGATTATTGTCAAGAATAGAACCAAAGTACGTTAAAAATTAATAATTGATATATGCGGTAGACGTTTTCGTCCATATCCCGACATCAATTAGGTCCTGTATTATCGAAAAATTCCTATCAAATTCAGTTAGGTGTCACGTCCATTCAATTTGCCGAGAAAGAGGCATGATTAATGTCAACAACGAAGAAATTGGTTATACAATTTGTGTTTTGATGGACGCGTAAGATATTTAAAGGTCAATGAAGGGTGTGTGTGGGGAAGGGAGACAACAATCTCTGGTAAAGAAACCATGGGGAGTTAACTCTTGTCACACAGCAAGATCAAGTTAGATAAATATTATAATAGCAAAACTATTAAAATAGATATTATTGTATAACTTTATTTTTTTCCAAAATTAATATAGGATGTTAAAGGACTCTCTTTTTTAAAATTCAGATGATGGGACAGAAAACATTTTCCTTAGATATTTAGAGAAGTCTCAAGCACCACCAAAACTGAATGCAAACAACAGAATGAGACTGCTTTTATTAAGGAAATTGATTGGATCAATAAAGTATGCAGAGTCCGCAGACGATATGGGCGCCACACCAACATATTTGTAAGGTATACATTAATCTTGTATTAATAATTAAGGTAGATGATACACAGAATTTTGCCATGTAACTGAATGGTGGAAAAATAATTAAATTTAAAAAATAATTTCACGAGTGCGAAGAAATATTGTTATATATTAATTGAAAAAGTAATGTTTTGTTAAAGTTTGAAAAAATGCCAAATTGATATTTTAACATCCTGTGAAAGGAGCAGTGTGGCAAAACTTTTTTACGAAGACTTTTTTTTTTTTAACTACCTTGTTTGATGTGATGATGATCATGAGAGAGAGAGAGAGAGAGTGTGTGTGTGTAAACAATCCACCTTGACTAAAATTTCCAAAGTTTATACCAAAACATTTTGTTAAAATCCGTGCTTACAATGTTTCCATTCCGCAATCATTTGATTTAAGATATTGTTTTTTAAACCGCTCATGATACTGTGTTGCAAAAAAAAAAATGAAAAAAAATGCAATAGCCATTAAAATTATGTTTTGTTGAATCTAACATAAGTTGCCTATGAAACCAGAAATTTTTTTAAAAATATTCTTTGACATTGCACTTTTGAAAATAACTAAACAATCCTTGTCTCACTCGTGAAAAATTCCATACCCATCCACAAAAAATGAATATCTTATGTTTGTCAATTTATAGTCAAACCTTACCTTTTGCATACCTATTTACAAACTGGATGTTTAAAAAAAGTTATGCATCGAAGAATGTAAATATATTTCTGTAAAGAGACATATTAATACTTTCGACTTTTTGTTCATAAATACCTGTTATTATGAAATGTATATATAATGAAGTTTATTTTATGCTTGCAGGTCTGGTGATTGATATTATATGTGACTGGACGGTATTGTGGAGAAAAAAAATACCAATTACTTCTCCAGTTTTCTTACCAAAGAACAACAGATCAAATATATTCAGCTATCTTCACATAATAAGTCAGTTTCAGTGACTTGTTTTCATTTGTATATTTCATCGCTCGTTAAATGTTCCACTTTTTCAGTATGACTTTCTTAAAACATAAAAGGCATTGGCAGTACTCAGATACAATCTTTGCTCTTTTCATCTGAACTCAATTTTTTATTGCGTATTTTAAGTGTTATGTTTTGTGAATAATTATCTTGTGTCTATTTCACAGATGTTATATAAATTTCATCAATTGATTTTGTGATAATGTAAAATATTTTGTTTAATAAAAAGAACTATTTCTACTTATCAGAAAATTGTCTATGTTGATCGCATACAGAATAATTGTATGAACCATATTTACATTTGTTTAAAAATTATTTGAAATCTTATGAGCTTTTTCAAAAGTCACTTGGTCTACACGATAAAGGGCAATCTCAATCCCATACGGCCGCAACTTATTTACCTATAGACAATTTGACAAACAAAAGTCATTAGCGTAATGAACTGACAAAGGAGAAATTTTAGATGTGTATCGCAAACAAATTAATCAAACAAGACAGTAAGCTGATAGGTTATTCCCCATGGCTCAGATGTATACATAGACGATAAGGGGATATGTCATATGTGACTTAATTTGATGCACATTATGAAATGTACAGCTGATAAAAAAGTATTGGGATTTTGATCCTGAAAAGGTAAAGAAAACTTACAGGAAACCACTTTTACATGCATTGATTTTCAAACTTTTACTGAATTAAAAAAGCAGTGGGTTTTTCTCCCAGATACTTAAAGTGCCTCCTAAGCATGACGATCTTTGCCCTAAAGTTCTTCCAATGCAGAGTCTTTCGAATATAACAGTTTTGAGACGTTTCATCAGTTGAAACCTCTAAACAGTGTGATTTGAAAGGGATTAGATGGGGTCGATGACTAGACCAATTATTAAGTGTACATGTATACCTTGTAATCTTAACCTCTGGCTTGTTCAAATGACCAAAATTTAAAATTTTGTGAAGAGAAGAATTTTACTTTCAAAAATAAACTTTCAAATGTCTAAACATTTTAAAAATTTTCGAGTGTAAATATTATAGCGTAATAAAAATATTTGGTAGTCATTTTAAAAAAATCGTCTCTTAAGACATCAAACGGGTATGGCGTATTGTTTTGGCTCTAGACTGCACTGCAAAGCAATGACTTTGGCAAATGCCCTCAACTTAATTATCCGATCCAGCTTGAGATGCAAATAGGAATTTCGAATTATGAATCTTCATAGCATTACATTATCTAAGAGGACATTCTGTATATTGAAATATTTTGCGTGGTCAGGAATAAGATAATATATGTCCTCAACCATTAAAATCAATAATGTTTAAGAACAAGAGGACTGATTATCCTGAATGACCTATAGTATAAGAAAACATATAGAGAAATACAAACCCCATTATGTTCCTGAAAGTATACATCTCGATCGAGTAGAGCGACGAGTGTATGTCGCATGATTAAGCCTTTAAACTGCCATTTTTGTGTGGGAGAATCGTCAGTTTCACTGAAAAAGAATTAAATTCTTAATGTTTACTAAATTTTCATATCCCATCAAAATAAATAGATAAATAAACAAAAATATATTTTGTTAAAGAGCATTTTGCAAAATAATAGAAAATATGTATTTTTGTTGTTAAGCTTTAATGTATCATATTGAATTTTGAGCTAGCTCTTGAGCATGAAGTTTGTTTCTTTGTATACTGTTATGGCTATAGGAAATTAACACTGCATACTTTTCCTCTTTTCTCTCATTGTAATCTTCCACCTTTGAAGCTTCTTCCTTGTATTGAAAGAGAATTGATTGTATTAATTCTTTTTTAATCAAATGCAGTTCATACCTTAATCGAATTATTATGCCGATCAGCAAAGTTATTTGCAATATTTATCTAAAAGTGGGAAATTATAAATAGTTTAATTAAGTATAAGCGAGTTTACATTAACTCTATATCATTTTTTATTAAACTTGTGATTGTATAACTAGCGACATTTATCAGCAATACCAAGACAATGCTCATAAACAAACAATAGATAGTCGCAAAAAATAAATTTTAAGACAATGTTCAAAAAATGTTTTGGTTGCCCTCTCCCGACTGACTTGCTAAAAATGGCCCGACTAAAAACGGGTTGTCTTTTTTTTTTTTTGCCTACAGGAAGAAATTATTTTTTACATGTACTCTGGAAAATATTATTCAAAAACTAATAAGTAATTGAGTTAAAAAAAAACCCAATATTTTCAGATCGAGTCGGGAGAGGGCAGCCAAACATTCTTTTAAACCTGGCCTATGTTTAGATATTAATTTGATCTTGTGCTTATCTTATAAAGATGACAGCCAGCAATTATGAGGCCTGATTTTTTAATTGAAGTATTTTCGTGAATATTTGACACAAATTTGTAAAACTGCAAAATAGAATTAATAAATATATAATTGATATAACATACATTATTATTTATGCTTTTGATTCTTGAGACCACTGGAAATGCGTTGTGAACGGTTGTGCGGAGCATGCGTATGAGAGACGATACACGTGATACTGTAAATACATAACTCAGTGATTTGTCCATAACATCTCTTGCTTTAAGCCTGGAATAAAATGGCATTAATTTTGTCACGCTTTCAAAGGAATCAACTATTTCATTAAACATATAAATCAAATACTGAGTACATTTACGGTGTGAATTAAATTGACAGAGAAACATAGGGAAAACAAAGGTAACTGATAAATAGAAATTGAATGAACCTTTCTGTTCCATGATGAACTTCCCATTCTAAGAGAGGGACTCCCCTTAACTTGATGTGTATATCATATATACCCTCATTAAAGTAGTCACCACACCATTTGGCAACCTGAAAAAGAACGGGCTCTTCATCTTGTCCCCATTTGATAAACCATGCTTCAAGTTCAATGAATTTATCAAATGTCATTTCACCAAAAAATAAAACGTACCATTAACACAAGCATTATTGGCAATCCATAACTGATTTCATTGGTGGATTCTATCATAATAACAGTAAGACTAATGGTCATTCTGACCACTCCACCGAGAAATGCCGCTGCACCAATTAATGCAAAAGTGCCAGAGTTTTCATGATTGGCATATCCAATTCTAAAACAAACAAGTTTCTGTTTTCATTCTTCATTAGCAATGTTAATACCTACTTTTATTATTTACGAAATTTCAAATGAAATACATGTATATAGAGACAACAGACAGTATTCAAACTCAATCAATCGTCCTTTATTAGGCTTTCATATATAATCCAGTAATTCAATGCTTTCAACAATAATAGGATATAAAGAAAACAAACAGTAATCAAGCTTAAAGGACATCTGAACCAATTAAATTAGTATATAGCAGAGCAAACACAGACCTTTAAAACATTAGAGATTGGATCAGTTGCAATGACGGAGAAAGCATTTCCAAAGGAATAGACGATATCACTTATTTGAATAGGTGATATCATTTTGAATAGGTGGTATAACTTATTCAAATAGGTAATATTGTCTATTCAGATTTATGAAATAACAACTGCTCCCATTAGTGATGGAAAGATTGTCAGTCGTTAGAAGCTCTTCGATGCTACTAATCGATTATAAAATAAATGTCGCCGACATCGCTAACAAAAAATAAAATTGTCATACTTTAATTTTATTACCAAATCCAAGTGCAAAGAGCATACAAGTAGTGATAAATGTTGAAAACATGGGAGGATTTCGTGTCTTATTGATACTTTTACCGCCATGATTAAATATGGGGTTAGACTAATTCCAGGAAACGGTAATATTGCAAGGTTTTACTATACAAAGGAAAACATAACAAGGTTAGCTTTTTTAAAAAAGCTGAGTGTCAGCCACTGGAATACAGAAAATTTGTTTCTTGTTTTGTAATGGTTTATGATTTGATCTATCCATCATGTTGTGTTCCTTAAATGTAATAAATGGCATTGTAAGAAAATTTAAATTCTTGTAATCGTTTTCTTATTTGTAATATAGTGCTGTACATAATAATTATAAAGCTTGAATAAACTGAAACTTGTTTAAAAGATATAAAGGACTTTAGAGGTATTGAAAAAATCATGTTTAAATACTTGTTTATTTTGCATCGTGATCATTACAATGGTCTCCAAAAATTCTCTTCCGCGCAGACATAGACATCAGAGAAAGTTCATCTTATACAAAGCCACCATGGCAACTAAAATCACGTTAAATTCTATAAAAATGATACAGATTATGAAGAATAAAATGTAGGTAGACTTTGTGTTAGATTGGTTTTAAATATTATTAAATAACCGTTTTCGTTTGTGCATTTCGAGGCAATGCATGATGTAGAGGGGGGGGGGGGGGCATACTGTATGTATATTTTCAATTTCTAAGTTTGAGCATCCATTTTAGTGTTATTAGGAAAGAAAAAAATTGCTTCCAAAAAAAGTAATGAACGCCATGGAAAACAATTTAAAATGGAAAATCAAAATATGTTTATACATGCAGTACGTATATATACGAAAGCCTATTAGGATCAATCTAGAGAGAAAAAAAATTAAAAAGGCGTTATAACGCCTTTCTAAAAGGCGTTATTACGCGTTTCTAAAAGGCGTTATTACGCCTTTCCATTCTAGAAGGCGTTATTACGCCTTTCCAAAAGGCGTTATTACACCTTTCTATTCTAGTAGGCGTTATTACGCCTTTCTATTCTAGTAGGCGTTATTACGCCTTCCTAAAAGGCGTTATTACGCCTTTCTAAAAGGTGTTATTACGCCTTTCTAAAAAGCGTTATTATGCAGTACGTATATATACGAAAGCCTATTAGGATCAATCTAGAGAGAAAAAAAATTTAAAAGGCGTCATAACGCCTTTTGAAAAGGCGTAATAACGCGAAAAAAGGCGTTATTACGCCTTTTCATTCCAAAAGGCGTTATAATGCCTTTTAGAAAGGCGTTATTACGCCTTTCCAAAAGGCGTTATTACGCCTTTCCAAAAGGCGTTATTACGCCTTTCTAAAAGGCGTTATTACGCGTTTCTAAAAGGCGTTATTACGCCTTTCCATTCTAGAAGGCGTTATTACGCCTTTCCAAAAGGCGTTATTACGCCTTTCTATTCTAGTAGGCGTTATTACGCCTTTCTATTCTAGTAGGCGTTATTACGCCTTTCCAAAAGGCGTTATTACGCCTTTCTAAAAGGCGTTATTACGCCTTCCTAAAAAGCGTTATTATGCCTTTCCAAAAAAGTTATTATGCTTTTTTGAATAACCATTATTTTGCATTTAACAGGCCCGTGCTTTTTATAGTCCCCCCCCCCCCACACACACACACTCCACTGGCCAAATTCGTGGGGGAGATACTCGGTAAAAATTTTTTAAAATGCAATAATTTGTCACAGCTTTACATACTGCAACAAAATGTTCAAGAACCAAGAAACCAATAGTTAATTATAATATTTAAACTGTAGCAAGACTTTTCCTCAAAAGTGTGTATGTTTGGAGGGGGCTTACCCCATTCGCACTCGTATTACTGGCCTACATGAAAAGGAAAATGCGTTATCTTATGTTAATAAATATAGAGAGATTTAATTAAAACCATCTTTATTTATGCAATTCTCTATATTCCTGCACATCTCACGGACAACTGTTTGCATTCGTATTAAGAGAAGGCAACACTCTACTCGTGAAGATCTAGAATATAGGCAGACATATCTTGGAGCTTTGTTTGCCATGTACAGTGTATTAAAATTTATGTCATTTGAAGATATTTTTCTCTCTTCTTGGAAAAAAAAGCAGGCGACTATTTGCATGGGTATAATGAGCAATTGAAATCAATGACCCTTGGTTGGGCTAAATATGTTTAGTTATGTATTGAAAGTAAAAGGCGTAATAACGCCTTTTAGAAAGGCGTAATAACACCTTTTGGAAAGGCGTAATAACGCCTTTTAGAACGGCGTAGTAACGCCTTTTGGAAAGGCATAATAACGCCTTTTAGAAAGGCGTAATAACACCTTTTGGAAAGGCGTAATAACGCCTTTTAGAACGGCGTAGTAACGCCTTTTGGAAAGGCGTAATAACGCCTTCTAGAATGGAAAGGCGTAATAACGCCTTTTCAAAAGGCGTTATAATGCCTTTTTTCGCGTTATTACGCCTTTTCCAAAGGCGTTATAACGCCTTTTCAAATTTTTTTCTCTGTAGATTGATCCTAATAGGCTTTCGTATATATATACATGTACACAAAATGTCTTAAAAGTTTGATAATGATGTCTACCATCATAGCAAAACTTTAGATTAAAAAGCTGGAATCCATCTCCCCCCTCTCCTTTCATTGGGGGGGGGGGCTGTCTATAAATCAGCAGAGTTCTCTCAGCTATCGCATTTTCACTATGGTCAATTTCTCACATGTGGGCGCGGTTCAGGTGCACAAGTGGCACTTACACGTCTATCATCATGTCTTACAGTGGTCTTCTGATGTTTTCAGATCTTCAATCATTAGAGTGAATAGAAATTGATCTTTCTTTTTTTTCACTATTTTGGGACCTTTGTGGCAAGTGTATTGTTGTGTGAATTCCGACCCGTACATGTCTTATGCAAGGTCGAGGGAGTCTTGCATCAGGCATCCAGAGGAATACACAATTTAAATCTTCGGCTTGCAATGGCGATTGAGGGAATCTTCTATTAAAATATTAAAGCATTGAAATGTTTTCATAGTATCATTTAAAAACTGACAAATATCACATCTAAAGGCTGAACAGTCTATGTCATTAATTTTCGTCGAGAACGACGAAGAACAATTGATGCAGTCTATAAATAGATCGAGGTCGTGAGTTTGCGTGAAGAAGCACGCCCTCTGGTTGGAGAAAATTGTGCAAATCTTTTTCCCAGAATTCCGATTAACGCAAGCGCACTTGAAGTTTCATCCTAACGTAACTAGTCAGCCCGGGGGCTGACTAATTAGTCTAGTCAATCTTTAAACGTAATTATAATTATAAATACAAGTCTAACCTCTGGATAATTACTTTTAAAACTTGCAATTTTAACTGATTAAAACTAATTTTAAGAAATAAATACATGTATTAAATGAAAGGTGGGACTAATATCAGTAAAATACCCATTGCATGGACTTTGTAAAAAAAAAATAATAAATTCCCATTCTGTTTCAATAGTTACGGAAGCGTATTAGTGCCACTTGCACACTTTACTTTTTTTTAATTTCGACACTTTAATCTGTAAATTTCACACTTTAAAGTGTAAATTTTACACATTAATCTGTGAATTTTACACTTTAATCTGTAAAAATTACACTTTAAAGTGTAAATTTTACACATTAATCTGTAAAATTTACACTTTAATCTGTAAATTTTACACTTTAATCTGTAAATTTTACACTTTAATCTGTAAATTTTACACTTTAAAGTGTAAATTTTACACATTAATCTGTAAATTTTACACTTTAAAGTGTAAATTTTACACATTAATCTGTAAAATTTACACTTTAATCTGTAAAATTTACACTTTAATCTGTAAAATTTACACTTTAATCTGTAGATTTTACACTTTAAAGTGTAAAATTTACACCTTAATCTGTAAATTTTACACTTTAATCTGAAAAATTTACACTTTAAACTGTAAATTTTACACTTTAATCTGTAAAATTTACACTTTATTTTGAACAACCTAAACGGTCAATTTTTGATGTTTTACCTCTGAAACTTACGGAAGCGTATTAGTGCCACTTGCACACTTTACTTTTTTTTAATTTCGACACTTTAATCTGTAAATTTTACACTTTAATCTGTAAAATTTACACTTTAATCTGTAAATTTTACACTTTAAAGTGTAAATTTTACACTTTGAAGTGTAAATTTTACACTTTAAAGTGTAAATTTTACACTTTAATCTATAAAATTTACACTTTATTTGTTTATTCACATAGTCAATATAGCATCTTCACACATCCTCAGTAACACATTTTTAAGCCAACAGACCATGTTTCGTGCATGATAAAATTTAATTCTGTTGCTTTATATTAAAGTAAAAGTTTTCTTTGAATATAAAGTGAAGAGCATACATGCACATATTCCCGATCACAGGTGCTTGAGGACCCCTCCCCCCCCCCCCCCCCCCCG